GAAGAGAAATGATAATGAAATGCCAAAGTGAACAATTATTGTCTCTTGTTAGCAAAAGGGGAGGAAGATAGGCCTAATGGAGAAAGAAGTTGAAATTAATGGTGAAAATGAAGTTTATCTGTGTAATCTGTGCACCGGGTGTCTTCACATCTCCCATTAACATAGATAACGGAGTTGCCTGTATAATGATAAAGGGAAGCCGTCCGCAGCTTCCCATAAATCTCCACCACTTGTCGCTGGCGTTCCTGGCTTGGTTTCTAAGAACACTTCATTCTTGTCATGTCAGCTGCCACCTTTTTCTCCAATTTGCTCCCATCCAACCATAATGCAGAATTCCTAAACCTGAGCTGAACATGTTCCCATGTTCCCTGCTTCCTCCTGTGTTTCAACCCAATTATACCAGCATCTCAAAAGAATGGCAAACTCATAGTCATAGCAAGATCCCAGGCAGTTTTCAAATTGGAAGCATTCCGCAAGTTTACCTCCATCATATGAAAGAATCTGGGACAATGAAACACAGACACATGCCTGAAGTAACTAGTGTAACTAGGCTCCCAAAAGACCCAAACAAGGACCTTCTTTTTTTATAGTAATCAGGTAAAATCACTTATCAATTATTTGTAAAATTTTTTTTAGACCTTTTGGTACCCAGAAAGAACACTGTAAATCCTTCTTAGACATAAGCCTGAAACTAAGTATTTTTTCCAGATCTTCATAAAACTTACCAATGACCATGCATTAGCTATACTCCATTAGAAATATAGATATCATAGAAATTATTTTTGAAAATCATTAATATTATAAAATTATTTACTCTAAAAATGAAATTTCTAATACAGTTTATCTTTGCTGTTCATCAATGATTAGTTTAAAATCCTGGGTCAATTATAATAATAAAGTTTTCTATAAGCAGCTTAATTAATATCAGGGATGATGATAATCACACTTTTTTAAAAAAAGAACAAAGGCAAACATTTATTAAGCATTTAATGTGCTAAGCCCTTTTGTATTATTTCACAAACAAATCTGTTATCTCCATTTTTATATAGTTAAGGATACTTTTGAGTTATATGAACTCATCTCCTTATTTATGAATTAACTTCTTGAAAGGGTTGAGGGGGGCAATTAGAAAAGGGGAAGTCTTTCTGATTCACAGAGCTTGTCCCCCTAATAGCTTGGAAAAAGCCTTCAGTTAAACTACAAAGCAAATTATTTTAAAAGGTTAGCTAGATGAATGGCCTTCCTTGGAATTTTCTATCATAAATGCATTTTATATCTCAGACTAAACTAAAAAGGTTTCTAAGAAACCACCCCCATCCCACCTCCTCTTGGGTAATCTCAGTGACTGCTCCAAGCTGACTGATGTTAACTCACCCTGCACCATGGGAAATACATCACCCTGAGTTTTGGACTCAGACCCCCAGTTTTCTCAGAGTCCTAGAGACCTCATACCATTCACAAACTATTTGCAGCACAAACTATTGTGCTTGTATATAAGATGTAGTAAAGTTATAAAATAAGAAAATAAACCTTGTATATAATGGTTCAATATATTTTTAAAATAGGGCTTGATTTTTTTTTAAAGTATCTTTTTAAAAAGTCTATCTGGTATGACCGCATTTCAAATGTAGGTATATTCAATAGACAAGCTTAGGTTACATTTAATCCCATTTCCCTTACTTTACAAGTGAGAGAACAGGTCCAGAGAAGGGACATGATATTCCCAAGGTCATATATCAGAACTTAGGAGGCTGACCCAAAACTCTCTCTCACTCCTTTCATTGCACTAAGCTGGACATGACCTGATACGAACACATTCAAGCACAGGACTAGCAATAACTTCCGAACCTAGGTGATGATTTGACAAGGTTTGAAAGTATTTGCCAAATCCCTCTTGACCATAATTACAGCTAATTTTGGATGAAATGATATTGAAAACTTTATTACAGAGATTTCAAAGCATTCAGTTAACATTTTATACTGAAATAGGTAAAGAATAGAAGAGAAAAAGGTTAAAGGAATGAGGAATGGTGAAGGAACCCTACTGTAATAATCAAATTATTCAAAAAGTCTTTAAGTCATTCCTGTGTCTACATGATTGAGGCCAGATAGAAGGTGAAATGATTCTTTCATATTTCCAGTCTAACTTTCCTCCCTGAATGTAGTCTACAAAAAATAAATCTCAGTATGTTCACAGCAGCATTATTCATGACAGGCAAAAGTTGGAAACAAGTCAAATCTCTGTCAACAAATGGATGGATAACCAAAATGTTGTGTACATATAGTGGAATATTAGTTAGCCATAAAAAGGAGTGAAACCCTGATACATGCTACCACAAGGATGAACCATGAAAACATTATACTAAGTGAAAGATACAAAGTCACAAATATTATATAATATATAGATATTATCTAGAATAGGTGACTTCATACAGACAGAAAATAGAACAGAGATTACCAGGGCTGACAGGAGGGGGGAATGTGAGTGAGGAGCTATTGTAGAGAGAATAACTATAAGTTTCCACTTGGGATGATGAAAAAGTTCAGGAAATGGATAGTACTGAATTGTGAATGTACTTGGTACCACTGAATTGTATACTTTAAAATGGTTAAAATGGTACGTTTATGTAGTATTTAATTTACCACAATAAAAAATTCATTATCAAAATCTGAATCATATCCCTTCATTTCTCATCTGGAATTTCTAAACTTTATTTTATTCACTAATTATTATAAAAGACAAAATTTCTTAAGACTCGATTATCGTCAACAACATCATGGTCTAGGTATGTTTACACTTATGGACACATATAACCACACTTAGGCCTTTGAATGTCCTGTAGAGCCACCCACAAAAACATATCCATCTCAAGAACTCCCAAATGATGACTGCAATAATAAGTGCATGACAAGACTAGAGCAACCAATGATTTTGGAATTCCTGGCAACCAGACACCCTGACCTGGAGTCTCAGCTGGATCCTTAAATTTCTCACCTGTGGTGGTGGTGGTGGTGGAAGGTATATATCTAGTGCGTATATACTTTATTTGTAAAGAAAACAGTGCACATACTAGGAAGACCTTCAAGAACTGTCAACCCAAGTCTGCTCCACTAGGTCTACGAACAAAGAGATTTCAGCCCATACATAGCTATTTTGGCAAACTCAGTAAGTGTGTTACATGACAGTGGGTGTCTTTAATGCAAATGCACATAATTAGGAGCTAAATCTTTGTACCTTTATAGGACAAAGGACATACATAATAAGCAAGATACACCAATTGTGACTTCTGAGGGAAGAAGACCTTTTCATTTTTCCTTAAAAGAATCTATTTCTCCTAAGGGCAAGTGAATCTGAGAATAAGTCTTTTGAAACAGAAGCAAGGAGGAGGGTGCAGAATATGAGTTTTGTGTGTGTTATAGCTATAATCCGTCACCCAGACCTTAGAGGTGCCAATTCTGTGCCATATACTATGACCTTTACTCAACTTTAATTTAAAGGTATACACAAACTCATTTTCTTTTGTGGAAATCTTTCAATTGCCAGTGGTCTGATAACTGAGTACCATCAGCATTTAAAGAACTCAAGAGCTTGTGAAGAAAAGCAATCTGTAGAGATACTTTCCATTGTCATCACACATGGACATTTAGCATTAATAAGCTGCTACTTGTAAGAAGTCCACTTGACATCACTCCCTTGTGCATCCTAAAGACATATGTCAAGATCACACTAAGATATTTAGAGGCAAACATCTTTAGAACAAGGTTTCGTTCCCAATCAAAGTGCTTAATTAGCAGAAACACTATGCAAGAGAGCTGTCCTTGAATATGCATGCATTTTAACCTCCATGTTTTGTTTTTTTTTTTCTAAAGCACAAAATTTCCTCTCATTGGATGGTCAGGAAATGATTGGGTAAAGAATACAGACTGTGTTAAGTGTTGGTCCACACAATGAGTTCCATCTTTCTAAGCAGGTCTTAGCTGCCTTACAGGGTGACATCCCCCTTCATGAGGGGGACCATTCTTTGGAAACGATGAATGGCCTTTCCACCATTTGTTTTGGATGAACAATGTTCCCATGGCCTAGTTGAACTCTTTCATACTTCCCACCAAATTTTCTGCCCCCTTGCATCTTCCTCCTACCTCCAATTTCAGTCAACCATGTTTGCAAGATATCAGTTAGAAAATCACAAGGCAAGTGAACGCATCCATTTGTTCAATAGAAAGTGGCCTCTGGAGTGGCTCCACTTGAAGCCCATAGGCCAGAGTTACATATGGTAGGCTGGCAAACTCAAATAGGATATGATTTATTTATGACGACCATGTGCGATTGATGCCCAGTTTCAGCATGTTGTGGCTTCACTTGCCTGCCTTGGTTTGGGATGACCTATCTATTCACTGTGTCCCATTTCAGGTACTGCATTTCCATGCTGTTGAGACAGAGATGGGTAACCAGCTAGGGGCTTCACACAGGTGTCCCTAACCCTACTTGCCACACAACAATCTACGACTGAATGCAAAGGGGCCAAACGAAACTTGCTGCGAAGGTTTGCCTTGCACAATTGGTTTCCATTGGAGAGTGGAGAAGTAGCTGCTAGAATGACCATGTGGGGTTCCTTAAACTGTTGTGCGTTTACCCACAAGGAAGGTTGGGATGCTTGTGAAAAGAGCCCCACTCCTCATTTCAGAGATTTTGACCACCCACCATTTGGGAATGATGGTCCAAAGAAGAATGGCATCAGATATGCATCAGAAGATTCAAACGTGGACTCCAGCTGAAGTGCAGTAAACTTCTGCCTTCAACAGCCTTCCCCCCTCCTACCCCCCAGTTGTATTTTATACTTTGAAAGAAGTTAACATGAAGCAGTAGTCACCTGGGCGTGCTCAATTTTTGACAAGCCTTAGTCACTCTGTACCCAGCAGAACAATTCACATTATATCCGAAAACCCTGTGAAGATTCTGCCACACATGCTAACACTAAAATGCCAGTAGCTCCACTTACCTTCTTTATTAAGCCTCATAACCTCCCTGCTTTTTCCACCCTCTTTTCCAGCCTCTTCTAAATCTACATCTGCAGATGAAAAAGAAAAGGAAAAAAGAAAATAAGGAAAAAAGAGGAAAAAAAGGGGGGAAAGCCAAAGTCAAGGGGGGAGGGAGAGTGTTTATTTGCAAACAGATCGATATAAACACTGTATATGAAAATCTTTCAAAATTTGACAATGCAACATTTTCTCCCAAGTCCGGATTTCCATCTACCTGGCCCAGATAGGTACCAAAAAAACTATGCAAGCAGCAACAGAGTAGCCTTTTAAGCAGATACACCGCGGGGCTGTGAAAGCCCACCCCGCGGGCTGCCACGGGGAGCCGGGCACAGACAGACAGGCAGACAGACAGACAGACAACCCTGGCAGCAGGGCCTCTCTCTGTGCATTGATGATCTGTCTCTGTGTGTATTTATTTAGAGAGAGAGAGGGAGAAGCATGGAGGACACCGGGGGCCACTCTCTCTCTCACACACACTTTTTCCCAGTGGCTCTAGGTGAATGCAAAGGTTACAGGATAATAAAAGGAGGAGGAGACGGTGGGGTTCTTACTGTCGGAGCAGTGTAATTTGGCGGCGTCGATCCAGGAGGACCAGGGTTTGCCCAGAAACGCCTCCGGACTGGGCACTTTGCGATCCAGTGTCGCCATTGCTCTTCCTTCTTGTTGCTTTTTCCCTGTTCCTTCGGCAGCAGCAGCCGAGAGACACGGGATTCGAGAACGCTCCGACGTCATCTTCGGAACGTTCCGACATTGAGTGTTCTGAAAGGGGAAGGGAGGGAGGCGCGGGAGGAGCGCGAGAGGAGGAGGAGCGGGCGGCGCGCGAGCGCCGGGAGCCGGCTGGGCTGGGCTGGGCTGGGCTCGCGGCGCGCGGCCGCCAGAGGCAGCAGAGAGGCGGCTGCAGCTCGGCGCTCGCCCGCCCGCCTGCCGGGGGAGGGGCCGCCGCCCGCCGGGCGCCGCGTGCCGGGGACCGAGGCTGCAGCGCGCGCGGGCGCGGGCGCGAAGATGCTGCGGGGCCCCGGCGGCCCCGAGCCCGAGTCGCCAGCGCCGGGGCGCGCGGAGGCGGCCGGGAGAGGCGCGAGCCGGGCCGCGGGGAGGGCGGCCGCCGCGGAGTTGTCGCTGCAGGGCCGAAAGTTTGTGCTGGCAGCCCCGCCAGGTGTGGCTGCCGCGCCCGGCCCCGGTGGCCCGCGCCGCGGCGCTCGGTGCTGGGGAGCGCAGCGCACCGGTGCGTCCCGCCTCTCCCACGGCCGCTGCCCGCCAGCGAGGGGACCCTGGAGCCCGGGTCGCCCAGGCGCCGCGCGCTTCGCTCTTCTGCTCACGGCGGACCCGGACGCTGGCGCATCCTGAGGAAGCTGCGCAGCGCGGGCCGCCGGCCACCGGGACGTGGCTGCGCAAAGCTGGTGAGTTTGGGGCGCGCGGAGCTGCGTTCCCACCTCGGGCGGCGGGACCTGGCAAGCTCCAAACTCAGGGCCCAGGTGCCCCCCGGATTCTCTGCGAGATGCTTGTCGCCGGCTCTCAGAGAACCTCTGCGTAGACTTTGCGGGAGTAAGAACTTACCCGCGCTCGGGGCATGCCAGGGAGGCCAAGTCCCCGGAGCAGTTTCCTACGCTGCCAGTGGTGTGAGAGGAGGGCGGCGGGATTAGCACAGCCACCTCCAGCCGGGAATTTGAATTCTTCAGCCGGGAGAATTCATTTCAGGCTTAACTGCTCTAGCCCGCTAGAAAGGAAGCGTTAGATTTCCTCTGGATTTGGGGTGTTGATGCTTTCATTGAGATTCCTCTCCTTTCATAAGGAAGGCAACAAATACCTTCAAAAGTATCCTCTGTCTCTCTCTCTCTCTCTCTCTCTCTCTCTCTCTCTCTCTCTCTCTCTCTCACACACACACACACACACACACACACACCCTCTTCTAAATCTAATAATTATCCAAAGTATAATAATTATCTAAAGTACATGAACACTCCCCAACAATTAATATATTTCCCCAGTTCTTACCACTTTTGTGTCTGGCCCATGACGGAAGACACTGCTCTGAAGTTGCTCTGTACTGGCTGAGGTCTGTCCTGACCCTGTGTCCCTGCACTTGGCATCCAGTATCTCAAAGCCAGGATTAGAGTGGGTGATAAAGGAGCAGCGACAGGTTGGTCTTTAATTGTGATGATTGTGTGAATGAACTTTACTTGGTGAAACCCAAGATGAAATTCCTTTGCCTTTGCTCTCTTTTGGAACCACAGAGTGACTTGAGGTTTTACTGGGTGGAGAATTCTCATTTTAGGGAGTGATGGTGTTAATAAATATTACATAGTGACCTCTTATGATATGCTAGACGCTGTGATTTCCATTTCCATTTGTACCCATCATTATCCATCCATTTGTCTGTCTGTCCATTCACCTTTCCATCTTTCCATCCATCCATCCGTCCATCCATCCATCCATCTCATCCATCCATCCTTTCAACAGTTATTGCCTGTGATGGATTGTTTGCCCTCAGCAGGGAAGAAAAATTAGACCCAGAGCAGCTCTTTTGGAAAACAGTCTGGTGGTCTCTGTGATAAAACGGGGTATGAAATAGTTCCTTAAGGAAATGACATATAAATAGTAACTGGCCAGGGCAGGGAATGGTGTAGTCTCACAGCTGTACCTGTCCATCAGAAGAACTGAAATATAGTTTCCAGTCAACCGAAAATATGTCACAGAGAAGATGGATCTACCCTGCATCTTGGAAATTGGGAAAGATTGATAACAGTAAGGTGAACCCTAATCTTGCTGAGAAAGAGGGAGTGTTAGCAGAGTCTTCAAGCTGAGCATAAGCATTGTGCGTTGGTGTTGAGTGTGGTTTACCTGGGATGCTGTGTTATTATTGGGGTGTGGGGGTGATGAGTTTGCATAGCCAGGCTTGAGTCAAAGTATAAAAGGCACTGAATGACAGCCTAAAGAGACTGAATTTTGTTTGATAAAGAGGAGCTACTGAAAGGGTTTCTGTAACTTAAGGGTACATGGAAAGTGTGACATAGAAAGATTACCCTCGTCTTGGTGTCCAGGACAGAGTGGAATATCGAAGCTGTTTGGCAAGGTAGTACCATGGTAGTCATGGTGTGAAGAAATGAAGGTCTCAACTTTGGTGGTCTCAGGCAGGTGGAGAGGAGGGCAGGTATGGGAGACCATGAAGAAAACACCTCAGCAGAAGGTATGTTATATGACTGCCTTATTGGGGGTGGGTGAGAGGGGAGAGAAAGAAGTTTCCAGAGCCTGGGGGAGAGAGTGTATCCAGAGGTATTAGTAATTAGATTAGGTATGAGTAATTGGAACATTGTCTCATTCTTCTACTTTTCCATTTCCTTCTATTTTGGTGTTTATTCCTCTAATCTTATTCATGCAAAGAAAGATGTGGTAGGCAGCCTCTACAATAAGCCCAAATGATTTCATAGCCTGGTCTTTGTGCCTGTGCGATCCTTCCCCTGCAGAGTGGACGGAACCTAGCATGTGCTTCTAACAAACAGAATATGGCAAAAGTGATGGGATGTCCCTTCTAAGATTACAAAAAGACTGTGGCATCAGTCTTGCTCACACTGGCTTGAGAAGCGATATCTACTGCTAGCTGTGAGCTGCTCTATGGAGAGGCATGGAACTGAAGGAGGCTAAGAGTCAGCAAGGAACTTTGTGTAAGGTGCTTGGTCCTGTCAGCAGCCACTTGAGTGAGTTCAGAAGCTCCTTCTGCTCCAGTGCAGCCTTGAGCTGAGAACACAGCCCACACATGTGCAAGCCCTCCAGACAGGCACCCAGCTACATGCCTGTGTCCCTGTGCACTGTGAGGTAATTAATGCTTGTCATTTTAGATTGTGAAGTTTTGGGGGACTTGTCACATAGCAACATATATTGAATACAGAATGGCTTGGGTGTAAAGTGATTAGAAAACAAAACAAAATTTAGTAGAAAAATTAAGTTTCACAACAAAGCCTGAGCAACATCCCTTCACTCCTCTTTTGAGCCTCCTGTGAATTGTGTATCTTCTTTGTCAGAAATTTTTTGCCCACTTTGTGGGACTAGTTTACATTAGCATCTCCTACATTCTGAGTTTTGCCATTTATCTTCATCATTTCAGTACTCAAGTTTTTGCTATTTAAACTCAGTCACCACTTTGCGGAAAGAATTCTCCAACAGGGCCTCCCTGGTGGCTCAGTGGTTGAGCGCTGGGTTGCAAAGCTGCCCGCAGCCTCTGCAGCGCCTGTTCAATCCCCGGCTGCTCCCCGGCCACCTGAGGAGGGTCCCACATGGCGTGCAGACCTCTCCTGCCGCCCGCTGCTCCCCTCAGCAGTGTACCTGGGTCCTTCTGCCTGCTCTGCTCCCCGCTCTGGCTCTGGTGAATTCTCTCACCCTCCTGCGCTTCTGACTGTATCCAGTGCTTGTATGTATCAATCAATAAATCTTTAAAAAAAAAAAAAAAGAATTCTCCAACAGCATCTAACTGATAATGAAGATGCTTCACTTGTGACTATTCCAACCCTGCCGGCTTCAGTGTGTGTGGAGATACAATAATGAAGAAACCCATGTCCCTGGCTGGGAGTCAGTGACTTGAGATACCAGAAAATTCTTCCTCCTCTCCCAGGAGCCACTTTAAACCACTCAAAAAGAAAAAAGTCAAAGGTGGCTTGTCGCGAGAAGTAGGGTACCTAAGGTGCAGAGAAGCAGGGCGGTGCTTTGATATTTTAACTTTAGCTTACTCCCCCACCTGCGACTCTCAAGTAGTGGTTATTTCTGCACAGCACCCTGAAGTTGGTATGACAGCCTAGATGTCATTCTCTTCTAGCTGGGAGCATTTTACTTTGTAACATAATGAAGTGTGGACAGGAATCTAAATGTGATTTAGGGTCTCCACAAACTGAATCTTTGGATACATTGCCTTGTTAACTGATAATCACAACACATATACATTATTGCAGGGGCAGTTGTATATAATTGCCATGTTTCTACACTAAGCCTTCCACAGTTTGTCCACTGACTATAGAGATAATACCAACTTTGTGAAACTGTAATCCACCCATGACTTCTAAAGTATGGATAACATGGCTGTCAATTAAATTGCACTGTGGGAAGCCAGAGAATGAACAAAGTGTTGCTCATCAAACGACTAGACTTTAACATTTGAACTTTAGATGAAAATTGAGGTCAGTTGGAAGTAGTATTTGGGTCAACATGGTGCATATATATTCTCATGTACACATTTCTATACTTATACATCAGCTACGTTTACAGCAAATTTATTGCAGACTTGAATTCTTTTTGGTATTAAATAGTTACAAATACTGTTTGTGACAACAGGAATCTTACACATTCTTAATAGAAATAAACTAACCTGCAAAATAGCCATTTAAAGCATGTTAGTATAATGTCTATGTGATAAAACTATCTAGCAAAAGTCTAACACCTTCTTTCCCTTATGATTAATGTTTAGGAAGAGAAAAGAGATGCAAATATTTTTATTATTATCTTTCTTAGAAAAATGATAGTGGTTGGTTTAATTAAAAAGAAGACTCTCCCATACACCAAATAAAGGAACCAGCTCAACAGAGATGACAGTGGAAAATACATCTTTAATTTGACTAGTACCTGGTTGCGTAGAAATGTGCATCTAATACATAGCCTGCATTCACTCAGTCTGATTCATGTGCAGTTTCACCACATTATTGAAAAGATGAGAAGAGGGAATATTAGTTCTCTCATTTGAGGATATTAAACTCTTGCTGAGGTCGAGGCTCTGTGTGCATACCCTACTTCTACCTAGACTGCTTTTAGGAGTTACCTAGAGGTAATGAAGAGAAAATGACATGTTTCATTAAAATGAGGCATCCCTGGAATTGTTTGATGTTCTTTGCCTTAATTGAATCCGTCTACCCCATCTGCCACTATTCTCTGTAAATTTATTTCCCTAGCCTTCTTTCTCTGAGAATTGTAACTTGGGGGGAAATTTGTTTCATATGTTGTTACCTTTTATAAAAGCTCTCTGCATCTGGAGGGCAGGTGTGCAGTCTCCTTCCTCTTGTTAGAAAGCATTGCCTTCCTGGAGGGAGGAAGGAGCACAGGGGACTGTGGTGATGGTGCACGGGTGAATTGGTGGTGGAAATGGGGACTACACCTGAGAAAAGAAAGCAGACATTGTTTAAAAATGAACAATGATGTAAAATATATATATATATATATAAATTAATTAATTTAAAAAGGAAAAACATTGCCTTCTTCTTCCCTATACCCTCACATGTTAGTGAATTAAAAAAAGGATTACAGGACAGGGTAAGAGAACCCCAGTAGCAAAGAGAATAGGAGAGAAAATAGGAATTCCAGGATTTCCTATATACAGACCTAGCTGTGTGTTAGGTCTGAATAAGCATGGACTTTATCAATA